CCTGTGTTTCATGTTTATTTTCTGCCTTTCCCCGGTAGGGTGGGATCTTCCTAAAATTTTGGTTCAGTTTTAGGTCTTCAGCATGTAGAGTGATGTTGGTGCATTGTAGGTATTCAGTACACATGTTTTAAAGAGTAGAAGACTGAGAGATTCCTGCCTCAATTCTTTTGTTCTGTCAAATTTTGGGATACAGGGAAATAAATAATAGTAATTAAGTTTCTCTGATTCTTTCATCTTATTGACAAAATAGACCTGTACATTATTTTGGTAGCATTAGAATCTCCATACAGAATTTGCCATCATTATATAATATTTTTATTTCTCACCCAAAGTCAAAGCCAAAAATTCCTTACTTGCCTATTCAAACTGTTCTTGAACAATCTCCCTCTCTCCTTCCCTCATGAAAGCCATTGAGACAACTCCATGTTTTGTCTGGTTTATCAGTAGTCTCCCAATTACAGTGACCCACATACATCAAATACCCTGTAGGAATTGTAAAAGGAGGGCTCAGAATACCTCCTTATACTATAGGAGTCTAGCTGACAGCACCTGCCCATGTACATTCATAAAGTAACTTTGGTAAGTGACAAAGGATATCACAGTCCTAGTACTTGCACTTTTAAAAACTTTTCTAGAATATTCTGTTAAATAGGCTCCTCCTTAAATAACTAATTTCTTCTCTATGTAACCAGTAGGGTGTGACTGACATGATGTGCTTTGTAAATTAAAATTGTGTGTGCATTTGAACACACTTGCTTTCTTAAGTCATTGATTATCATTTTTCATCTCAGATCTCATTTTTGCTTCTTTTTTAAATAGATCTACTAACAAGGATATAGGAGAAAATTGCTCCTCTCTGGTCCAAATCTAGTTCTCTATTATTATAGAGATGACACTTTTATATTATCCCTGTCAAAGTGCTTGAAAGCTTATTGAACACTTGTTCTAAGAGCATGTGATCAGTTGACTTTAATTATCTTAGCTGTTGTAAAAATGTTGTGATCATTCAACTCTAATTCATTCTACATAACCCACAGTGAAGTTAGACACACTTTGGAAGTGGAATAGCCATCCTAGACGAAGCCTTATCAAAAGACTCTGCAGAACTTCCATCTGAGAAGAGAAGCATTATATTTATTGGTGACTAGGATTGAAGAGAAAGCCATTATGTAACTCAAAGCTTGGCAGAACAAGTGACTGCTGTTCAGTTTGTCACACCATTCTAGAACCTTTAAATGTGCACGCAGTAGAGACAGAAGCCAAAGCTCTCCACCAGGGAAGTCTCAGTCAGTCCTGCGAAGTAATGGTCAGGTGGATCCCACCGGATTGAAGAATGAGAGTCAAATGATTGTGTAACTAAGGAATGTAAGATATTGACAAAAAAAAATTCCTTTCCTGCCTACCACAGTTTGATATGTATTAGAGAGTGATTTGTGCTTGTTTCCCAACCTTTCCTTACTATAAACATCCAGAGCACACTTGCTCTTCACTGCCTATCCAGGGACCATTTAGCACATGAGTAAAATAAATACCTACAAGTTAGGCTATGTTAGTGGAGTTATCTTTATTCTTTTCTTGCTTACATAGACACATATTCCTTGATCAGTAGTTTTCGTTTATATACTTTGAGGTTGTCAAGAACAGTAAAAGCTAAAATTCTTAATGTAGAGCTGTAGCAGTTTGGGAGGTAGAATAAATGTTAAGAACTCATAATAAGAAAGAGGTTCTATTCTATTTTATTTCTCTAACATACCTACCACAGTGTCTGGCACATAGTAACAATAAAAACATTTGTTGGTTAATGCACTTTAAAATAGTTTTCAACAGATCATTTTGTAATAACACCTAAAGATATATTAGGATTTATAGAAGGTCGGGTAGCAAATTTGAATTTAATGCATAACAACATTTATTAAGCAATTAACATCTACTGAATTCTTATTACAGCTTAGGCCTTATGTAAGGTTCTTTGAGCATTTTTAAAACTTCTCATAGTGATCCTTGCTTAAGTAGTATATTGCTATTAGAGAGTATCAGATATATTTAAATAACATAGCCAAGGTCACACACTCAGGTAGTACCAGAACCAGGATTCAAAGTCAAGTTCATCTCTTTCTAAACTTATGCACTTAGTAGGTATTACAAAAATATTCTAAATCTGTTTTCCCAAAAGAAGTCTACCTTTTGATCCTGGAGGACCCTTTTTGGTGAAACAACAAGCATGTAGAAAATGTGTACATTGTGAATGATTTCTGTTAATGGTCATTTATTATTAATCAGTTACCACTTCCTAGATAATTTGCTATTAAATTCATTTCAGTTGATCTGTCAGTTGGTGTTTTCACATGTACATGTTTGAATAGGTTAAGTAAATAAAGCAATTCATATAAAGAGTTTCAGGGTGGTTCTAGGTTGCTATTGGGAACCTAGTTTATTTGTAGCATTTTTATTTTAAAATCCTGGCATCTTTAAAATGTGACACCACAGTCGGCATAGTAGGACACTGATAAGAACAAGTATGCAAGCAGCAATTCATTGGATACTTAAATGGCAAAAAATACAGTGCAAGTTTCACACACCCTGCAGTCTACAAGTTTATATGACAATAAATAATGGTTATCACCAGGACAAAGGAAAAGTGCCATAAAATCCAATAGCTCAGAGAATCCTGCGAATACAGGTGGCCAAACTGGTTCCATTTCATTGTCAAATTTATTCTCTTCTGGGTAGTTAAATTACCCAGTCATTTATTGCTAAAAGTTTTTCAGAAGGCAGATGTAAACCTAAAATAAGCTTTAGGTTCAAACTTTGTGAGAAGAAGAGTAAGAATTTGCTTCACAGACAGCACAACTGACAACTCCAGAAATAATGTGACTTTCAGCATTCCATTGGAATCTCCTCATTATGTATCTGGGGGATGGGTCAAGGGACAAAATGCTGGCTAGAATGAACACTTTTTAAAGCCTTTAAAGATCTTCAAAATATTACCCTTTTGATACCCTCTAGACAAAGTGAGATGTTAGTGATTGTGTGTGTGTGTGTGTGTGTGTGTGTGTGTGTGTGTGTGTGTTGAGAGACAGAGAATGACTGAGATAGATGGAGATTTCTTATGCACTAGAATGCCAGGAAACAGAAGAATATTTATGGTGGTTCCTCAAGCAGTTACAAGTCAAGATCAGCTCTCTTTCCTGTTTCTATTTAACTAATTAATGAACTGTACACAATACATATCATATATATTATATATATATATTCTGAGAACATTTGAAACAATAGAAATAATGTACACTGTATTTATTATTTTGAAACAGCTACAATCTAGCAACTTTCAAAATTCAGGCATTTTTTACTGATGCAATGGATCAAAGACATTCCAATAACAACCTTTTCTTAATCACTTCTTGCCAATACATGATGCTTTCCATTCAAATTCAAGTGTATTTTCCAAACAACTAATAGCTATAGTTTATCATTTATTTTCTGGATACAGAAAATTGCTACTTAAGATGCAATTGATTCTTTGCCAAGTAACCTTTAAACCAAAACATGTATGTGATTTCCTGATTAATTAAAAATATTAACTTCATCAATCTTTGTTCATGACCAAATCCAAAGCTTCCAGGCATGATCCTGATGAAGAATATATTACACAGCTGAAAGACTTCAAGCTCTAATTTATATTGCCTAAAGTAATCTATGCAGGAAGTATCTAACTCATGACCAAAGGTTAGCAGATCTAGACTGCATCATCTGACAGAAGACAACTGCAGGCCATGGTAACTAAATACCCCACCTCTAGATCAGAGAATGTTAGCCATCATACCAAAGCCAAATGACTGAACACTCCACTACTTTGCTATTATCTCATTCAGCTCTGTGGGATTAGTTAAGATCAAGGGTAAACTTGAATAGATCTAAATGCGCCAAATCAGGGTTCCACAGTTTGTTGCTTATTGCACCTAGAGAATCCGATGATAAATAAGTTCAATACCATTGATCAGAAAGACTATTTTAAAACTCAGATTTCATGAGAACAAATCCAAAATGACTACTACTCTAATGTAAACATCTACTAAGCATTCAAATGTTGTGAGCGATTTTTTAGTTTTTTATTTAGAAATGAATATACATTTATAAGAAGTTGCAAAGACAACACAAAGAGATACCATGTAACTTTCACCCAGTTCCCCCAAAGGTTACATGGTTCATAAGTAGAGTCCCACATCACAACTAGGAAGTTGACATTGGTCCACCATGTTTGTATAGTTCTACAGAATGTCATCACATGAGCAAGTTCTTAGTAACTCAACTACAATCAGGATATAGAACTATGAATCATTTCATTGACTTTTCTTTGATGTAGAAATGCATTATAATTTCATATAGAAGGTTTAGAACCTTCTATCTGAAATCTGCATGTATCTTTATTCTGCATAAAAATAAATGGGAGCTGAAAATTGTCAATATCTAGGAATTATCTAGGAAAACTCCATGCACATGTGTATGGGCCAAAGGGAAATTCTAGCAATTCAGGCAAGGTAGAATTCAGTAAACTTATTGCACAGATCAGACAACCTCATCATTCAGCAATCAGTTTTCCCAAACATGACAAGGAGCAAATTTTTAGCACATGGTTAATCAAAGACAAATTGTTGATAACTGTACTAGTCTGAAAGTCTATTCACCAGTGAAAGTCCAAGGCTCACATACACACATGCTCTCCTTTCTCAGGTAAAACAAAGCACTTTATAAGTGTCCTTAAAGTACTAATGATGCTACTATAACAAAAGAGCACATTAATAAATATACACCGAGAAACAATGAAACAAATCAACCACACTATCCCAAGCTAAGGTTATTGTGGAGTTTATTTTCCCTAATAAGTATATAAAAACTCCACTTCTGAGCCAGCTCACAGCAAAGGAGAAATATTTAAGCACACACTTACATATGCACACGTACACACGTGCACGTACACACGCAAATCTAAGCAGTCTTACCTTGGCCATTTGTGCCTGCACACCATTTGCCTTGAGGGATGCTACTGCTTTCTGTGCAGCTGCAGGACTGTCAAAATCTACAAAACCATAACCTGTGAAAATACAAAACCCCTTGTTAGCACTCACAGGCAGCCGTGTCTCTGTCGCACTGATGAATGCAGATTGTGGTCAGATTTGCATTCGTTTCTTCCGAACAGAACCCAGTTGAACATAAGGCTCTCAATCAGTGATCCTTAGTGCTTTGGGAGAGATTCTACCTTATCTCTACACATAAAGCAGCATTTAGTTTTCTACAGAGTGCTTTTAGGGTTGGCTGCTATAATCAGCAACCTGCTTTACACTAATTTGGTGGGAAGGCAGTACATTGTTTACTGTGTTATTCTCTCTTCAATGAATTTGCTGTAATAGTGAGAAGAACAAAATGCTAGAAAACATAAAACAGACTATCTCTACAGTGAATTTTCAAAACCTCAAAAGAATGGATACAATAAAAGTCATGATAAGAACTTGCATAGGTTATCAACACAACTTCAACAGTGCTTGTCACAGTGTAGGCACTTGATAATATATGTTGACTACACAAATGATTAAAGGCTGTAGGTGAATGTTAGTGTTTGAACCTAGTTCCACTTAATCACCAAGCCCATTCTTTATTATAGGACCTTGCTCCTCTTGATGATAACATCACAAGTAAACTGTTTTGGTTCTTCAGTGATCTGTAAAAAAACAGTGGTTAAATAGACAAATACTCAAGTTTTAAAAAAATAAGAAACAAACACCCATCTGCTTATTTATGCCTGGAATACTATTTGAGCGGGGCATAAGAGCTGCTAGACTGCTATGTGTGTTCGTGTATATGGGTATATATGCATGTCCTTGAGCTAGCTGATATGAGGCCAGGGTATAGCCTAACAGCAATGTCAACAGTCAAGAATATTTGAAAATACAAATGTTCAGGAATAGGTGTGAAGCCAGTTCTGTGTGGAGCACCTGAAAAGCCTCACATCCCTTTATCTGGTGGGCAGGGCTTCTGGTTTACATTTTTACCTTGTCTCATTCAGGAGTTTTGAGGTAAGCCACTGAGCAAACCGACTAACCACGGGCTGGGGCCCACCCCCAACCCAATAACCAAAGAAAAGTGCAAGGGAATTCAATTACCAAGTTGTTTCTTTTAATTAACTTTTTAATTTTCTCCCCTCAAATCCCATCTTCTTTTTCTCCCTCCCAGCATGTTATCCTAAAATGAACTTGTTACACAGCAGTGCACCATAAAATGCTTTGAAAAGCTAGGCAGAGAAGCTGTGAAGTTTTCTAATCCAAAAGGAAGTCTGCTCTGTGAGTACTGCTAATACTTTTCTTCCTACAAAATTCAAATTATGGGGGTAATATGAGAATTATCACTCACTAACATGAGTAAGATAGAGAAAAAAAACAGAATGAAAAAGTAGAAAAGTGAAGAAGTAGAGATAAGCAGAAAGAAAAGCTAAAATTTAGACATTATCTCCTGTGTGTCACATGCTGTGCTGGGTGGTTGATATGTTGACATGTTGTGAAATCCTAATTGCTTCATGTAGTATTGGCCCTATGCCCATTACACACACAAGGAAACTGAGGCATAGGTGAAGTGATACAAGGATCCCCAAATTACAAGCCTGTTAATTGACAGAGCTAGTATTTGAAAGCAAGTCTGTACAGGCCATTTTCAAGGCACCATATAATGAGTTGTTTTACAGTGCTGCTTTGTAAACTATTTCTGGTACCTTCTGATGCCCATCAGGGAAAGGACTTAATTCCTGAAAAAAGTCTCAGATGTGAACTAAGACAACTGCATGAAGAGCTTCAGTCCAGCTCATTCCTCAGTACATCTCTCCATGGAGTGGCCGAGAATGCAGCAGAGCTCCCCAAATGAGATGTGAAGAGGTATTCTCCCACGTCCTTCTTCCCTCAGTCAGTCTTCCTCATCCCTTCAGAGGCTAATAGTCACGCAATAGTGAAGGTCATATATATATATATCTATGTCAGAGGCTAAGAGAGTCATGCAATAGTGAAGGTCATATATATATATATATGGGTGACATATATATATATATATGGGTGACATATATATATATGGGTGACATATATATATATGGGTGACATATGTATATATATGGGTGACATATATATATATATGGGTGACATATGCATATATATGGGTGACATATATATATATGGGTGACATATATATATATATGGGTGACATATATATATATGGGTGACATATATATATATATATATGGGTGACATATATATATATGGGTGACATATATATATATATATGGGTGACATATGTATATATATGGGTGACATATATATATATATGGGTGACATATATATATATGGGTGACATATATATATATGGGTGACATATGTATATATATGGGTGACATATATATATATGGGTGACATATATATATATGGGTGACATATATATATATGGGTGACATATATATATATATGGGTGACATATGTATATATATGGGTGACATATATATATATATGGGTGACATATGTATATATATGGGTGACATATATATATATATGGGTGACATATATATATATGGGTGACATATATATATATGGGTGACATATATATATATATATATGGGTGACATATATATATATATGGGTGACATATGTATATATATGGGTGACATATATATATATATGGGTGACATATATATATATGGGTGACATATGTATATATATGGGTGACATATATATATATGGGTGACATATATATATATGGGTGACATATATATATATGGTGACATATATATATATGGGTGACATATATATATATGGGTGACATATATATATATATATATATGGGTGACATATGTATATATATGGGTGACATATATATATATGGGTGACATATATATATATATATATGGGTGACATATGTATATATATGGGTGACATATATATATATGGGTGACATATATATATATGGGTGACATATATATATATATATGGGTGACATATGTATATATATGGGTGACATATATATATATATATGGGTGACATATGTATATATATGGGTGACATATATATATATATGGGTGACATATATATATATATGGGTGACATATGCATATATATGGGTGACATATATATATATATATGTCAAGCACTGTGCCAAACACCTCAAATGGAGTGTTGAATAAGACAGTCCTAGTTCTCACTCTTACGCAACTTGTACTTGAGTCGAGAGGTGAACATGAAGCAGATAACCATGCAAATGTATCTGTAATTACAAAATGGCATGCCCCCCTGGGAAGAAAATGTGAGCATATAGCACAGAATCTAACTGTTGGTTGCTTATTATTGAAAGTTGTGAGAAAGCTGCAGCATGGAGTGACTTGCACTATGGAAAACATTACCCTAACTGATGTGGCAGACAGTACAGTAAGAGTAGAATCAGCGAAATGATGGGGAGCTGAATTAGGGGCTCATGCAGCAATCCAGAGGAATGGCAGCTGGCAAAGAAATGGACCAGGTGATATATATTTTGAAGGTAGAATTAACAGAACTTGGTGATAAACTGGGAGTAAGGGAAGTACAGATGACAAGGACTACTGGTGTTTTTTGTTTTGTTCTTTTTGTTTGTTTGTTTTTTGCCATAAGCCACTGGGTAAGTATGATTTACTCATGTATGATGTGATTTACTGCAATAAAGAGTCTAGAGGAGGGTCCAATAGGAGAGAGGGAAAATTAAAACACGATTTTGAGACATGTTGAGTCAGAAAAGCATGTGAGACATCTAAGCAGAAATGTCAAGTAGCAGTTGGATATATCAGGCCAGTGCTCAGAAAAGGAGGTGGGGCTGGAAATATAAGTTGGGGGACAACAGCATGAAGATCTTATTTGCAGAGATGAAAATAGACAGCAATGCCTAGAGCAAGTACTAAAAAAGGGTCCAGTTTGGAATTTGAACAGCCCCAGCATTTTAGGTGTTAAATAAGAAAATAAAGATGATTGGAGGGGAGTCAGAGAGGAAGAGGGAAATGAAAGGGGATGTGATATCTTGAGCAAGGTAAAAGGCATCCCAGGAAGGAAGGAGGAATAAGCTGTGTCAAACACAGGAGAGCGTGAGCAAGGAGGGAGTTTGAAAATGCCAGTGTGCATACGGTCATGGGTGTCATTAGGAAAGTGATGAGGACCTCAGCCTGTCTGAGAGTAGAGATTAAGAAAGACAGGGAGGGAGAGGAAAGGTTTATAGGCCATTAGGTAGCTACACTGACTGGGAAGAAACATTTAGAGACAGACTTAGCTAGCAGGAGATATGGGGTTGATTGAGATTAATGTTCATTTGCTTGCTTTAAGACAGGAGATACTGTGTGTGTGTGTGTGCACGTGTGTGTGTGCATGTATTCATCACCTCATAACAGTGTGAAACCAGTGCAGGGAATCTACTGGGTACTCATTTAGGGCTGGAAACATAGCTCAGTGGTAGTGTTTGCCTAGCACAAGTAAGTCCCTAGCTTCCCTCTCCAGCACTGCCAAAAAAAAAATACTGAGTACTCATTTAAGTTATTCAACAAATATTTATTGATCACCTACTATGGGTCAAATACTGTTCTTCGCATACTGAATATTGGTAGGAAAGATCAGGCAGATAAGAAGAATCTGAAGCTTCAGGATGGCAAGGGGATACAATGATATTCCCGAGAAGATAACTCACAGAAACTGGAAGGAGAACAAGGAGCCCTCCAGATTACCAGGTGTTGTTTATCCCCAGTTACTTGGACTGTATCTAATACATAGCCCATGCTTAATAAATATTTATCAAAATAAGTTGAAACCATGCTTAAAGGATATTAACTTACTTTATGGACCATTATGCTGATTAACTGATTAAAATGTTTATTAACACTTTTTTGTGTGTTTGCTTATTTGTTTTGGTGGTACTGGGGTTTGAACTTAAAAATTCTCACTTGCTAGGCAGGTGCTATCCCATATGAGCCAGGCCTCCAGTCTTTTTGTTTTGTTTTGTTTTCCACTTTAGTTATTTTTCAGATGGTGTCTCACACTTTTTGCCTGGGCTGGC